TTAAGATTCTTAGCTGTCAGCAAGGGTGATTTTATTATTTTGATAAGTTATAGCTCTATTTGGGCATTATGGAAATGGGGCTGCCATCTGGAAAAAGCCTTTAACCTGGGGCTTTCCCTGGGAAATTGACCAAAAAAGAATTCATATGTATAAAAAAATATACTTCTGTATTCTTTTTGTTAAAATAAATATTCCCACACATAATAATCAATGAAGCAGTTGATGCTTAGCAAATCTGTAGCGCTAAGTTAGGCTGCAAGCTTGTATGCCTGTTATCCAGTCAGCCAAGGACTATTCTTTTGCTAACGGCTCTGGCTGATTGTCTAGTACATACTGATATTGCCTTGATCGTTCATAGATCAGCCTGTTTTATCAAAATAGTGGAGTTTCTGTAGCAAACTAGCCGAAACTTTGAATTCAAACAGAAGTGGAACAGTGGAATTTCACTTGAAGCTAGTTTTGATTTGGTGAAGATCCTCCTTTTTGGAATGATGATGCAGGACAACAGCATGGTGTAGCATTTGGAGATCCTTGTCAGGATTGTATGATCACCTTTTGTTTGGTCTCAATGATAGGGCATCTTGAACTAGAAAATCTATTGCCAAATTTGATGCATGATGATAGCATGAAGGAGCTCCTGGAAAAAAAATAAATTTTCCTAGGATTTGATAATTGTGAGAGGGAGGTGAGAAGATATTAGATGATCTGGAACAAAAAAGATTGACTTATACTAGACTCATTCTAGCCTAAGGTTTGACCCCTAAGGATGAAGGGCTCACAACTCACATTTTAATGATGAAGTCCTAGCACTTTCATGCATTTCAGACACTGGAGAAGACCTTTTATTTATCTTCACAACTCCATACATCATAGGATAAGTAAAGAGAGAAAAATAACCCACTTTTTAGAATATATGACAACTCAGATGTTGCAGGTAATAGAAAAAAGTGAATCTAAAAATAAATCCAGATTTGATTTGGGTCATCCCTTCAATTTTCAATGCTTATCATGATTTGGATCAATCATCTATCTTTCATTACGATAAAAGAAAGAATTTAAAATTTTATTTCTATAATTTTCTTCATTTTCATGATTTTGAATTGGGATTGACTTCCTTCTCTGCTATGATGTTCAATCAAGCACGAGATACTTTATCTTTCCTTTTTCTGATTCATTTTTGTACTTCCTTTTTGGACAATCTTAGCAGATTGTGTGTAGATTTATCACTATCGCCAGTTAACAAAATTATTTTAAAGAAAACAAAATGACACCTGCATCAAGTGATCTCTCTTATTCTGATGATCTCTCTTGTGAACAGAATTGTCTTTGCTGCCAATCCACTCTGATCCCAATGATTTCAAAATTGGGAAAATGATTGTTTCACTTATATCTTGGTGATTTATCTTAATTTTGACGACCATCAGACCACTGCCCAGCTAGAGATCAGTAAAATATGGGTGGCGGCAAGCATGGCATTGTCTCTCCCTGCCTCTCTTTTTCTCACTCTTGTTGTAATGAACTAAATTCTGTTTCTTTTCTTTATTTTTTCTTGTTGGTATCTTTATTCTTTGTTTTTTTTCATTCTTTTGGAATGCACATAGTACTCTTTCTGGCTCAATTATGTTCCTTTTCATTTTTTCTCTTATATTCTGCAGTGGTAAATTGGTCTGTCCCTCGATATTAATTCAAAGCATCCCTCACTGGTTTCTTTTGGGCCCAATACTGATATGATCTTGTGGCAGCAAAGTTACAACATATTATGAAATATGCTTTGACCAGCCAGCATATGCTAAGTCTTGATATTGACCAAAATCAAACTGAAACCTTTATCCTGCTATAACAAAACATAGAGCCAGAGAATTTGAGACAAACAATAGATAAGAATCTTTTGGTTAAACATCTTGAGAGCTCTTAGTTTTTAGAACATGAACAATTTCCATTTTATATGCAGTTTTCTAGTTCATTGCTTCCACAACAATGGCAATGGGAATAGCAGATAAAAAGGCTATTTTTGATGTTAATGTTCCCTCTTAAAGGACTGCTTATCAAGGACTTTTATTTTCTGGCATTCTGATCTGTGATCCTAGAAATTAGAAACCTGAAATATAGGCACCACAATTGCTCAATCGCTTGTTATATCATGTATTTTCGGGTGTTTAATACAATTGCTAGGTGGAAGAAGCATTTGCTATAGCTTGCAATAATTTCAAACAATTGCTAAGATCTACTCAGCATATAAAAATGCTTCTGAACTCTGAAGCCTCTTCTTGAGTGTCCTTACAGTTTAGGTTGGCTTGAATAAATTATGTTTCTTTGTTTATCATCAACTTGCTAGGAGAAATCATTACTCATTCAGATGAAAGTTTATAGGTTCTATAACTCACTTTTTTTTTTCTCTTTAATGATCAAATAATAAAATCTGTAAATCCAGCCTATGGATATCTAGTCCAATCTTATTTTCAAGACCTTAGAATTTTACTACTTGCCCTGCTTAATGTGAAGTTTTATAGGCCTTTTGCCATTTTCAGTGCATAATTATTAGCCATTACTCTCCATTTTGTTTCTATATGTAAGAACATTTTGAACTCTCAGGGACTTCGAGACATAGCTTTATCCTTCATCCAATATAGCAAGGTGCTTGTGTGATTGTATAAATAACTTCATTTAGAGTCAAATCTAACATCTAATACAGAGTGCTGCACAATTTCGATTGTCTTTGTAAATTTATAATCTAAACAATCAAGATATCTACTAAGCATATGCATATCTGTGACTGGAAGTAGAGCTACAGGTTACAATAAATGTTCTCATGTTTCATTTTTAGAAAGTCCCAGTGTCAGATTGTTTTTCAAAGCTAAACACTTGAAAGCCATCCTATATACACAACTTGAAATAGTTGACAAACGTAAGAGTGTAAACCATACTTGTCAGTCAACTTTGGTGACATACACCGAGTGTTATGTAAGAGCCTCAAATTAATTTCAGTTGTCTTATAAGTTTTACACAGTGGATTTCTATTAAAAACATTCATGGTAGTCAATACATTTAATTATATTAAGGTGCACTGAGGTATAATCTTATTCATTTCATGTCTAAGTTTATCCATATATCATGGTGAACTTGAATTTTGTTCTTTTCTTCAATCTTAAACCTCCTGCTTTATATTCATTCGTCATATGGACTATTTCAAAGGAGGAAAAATAAAAAAGCATTATAGGGGAATTGCTTTCCATGGATGCACATACTGCAAATTGTTGACTTACGTCTCTTTTTAGGTTTTACACGTTTGTTTTAGTGTTTAACAATCCCTTACCCAAGCTTATGATTATCGGCACAAGTAGATCTGGCCATAGGCAATCACTTAGAACCTGTAACTAATTAAATGCTGCAGCTTTATATGGCTTTCCAAACTGAGATTTCTTGGTCCTTTGAACTCTGCAACTTCTTGTTTCATAAAATGTTACTAAATAACTTAGAAATAGAAAGTATTGTAGTTGCATGTGGATCACTGGTTAACTTATGAATTTTTTCAGGTTTTGCACAACTGGGCTTCCAAGCGATATTATCATTGAAGTTGGAGAGATGGCCTTCCATCTTCATAAGGTGAGGTGATTAGTCATTAAATTGAATGTGACTGTACTCATACCAAGCAATCTATTTAATTCAATGTTAACATGTTCAATAAGGTGAGGTGATTTAGTTATTTACTTAAACAACATCGTACTTGCATCAAGAGGATGGCCCTCGGCACCATGGTAAAAAATTGCTCCATTTGACATAAATGACCAGGGCTCAAGACATGAAAGCAATCTTTCTAATTATAGGTGGTAGGCTGTATATTGACCCTCCATAAACTTTGCATCGATGGTACGCATGCATTGGGCTGCCCTTTTCTTTAACAATTTTATATAGATATCTATTTAATGCAATAATTAGTTGATATTTTTATGGTTTTGCTACTGTCTTATTAGATAAGGCTCTGAATTCTAGGCTCATTTGCAAAATTCTTTTTGGGTGAGACTGTTTTAAGCTTCAACATTCTCTTTCATGACGGAACAAAAAATGTCAAGCTCCTAGCATCGTACAACATTGCTGTCATTTGTGTCAAAGAAACTTTTGTTGTCTCTTATTTCTCAAGTACAAAAATGTAAAATTAAATGAGTCCTTTTTTACTATCTGGTTTGTTTATTTATAAGGTTAATATAAAAAGACAAATAAACCAGACAAATTGAAATCTTGCAGCCTAAACTGGACAACCAAGTTGCTTCTCCAGTGACAGTATGTTATCAATTGTTTCTTCACTATTGAAGAGGGTAAATTGTGTGAGAATTGTAGATTTATTAATTCTTTTATGGTCTGCTTTTCTCCTACCCATTGTTTAGGCCAATTTGACTTTCTTTTGGTTCTTTCAGATCAACTGGGACTTTATCTAAGAACGTGTGCTGAAATTTTCCAGAAGCATCTGAATTCTATTATTCATGAATTATGTTTGATGTTCTTCTTGCAGTTCCCTCTTTTGTCAAAGAGTGCTCTCCTGGAAAAGCTTATTGAGGAGATCTCTGATGAACAAGAGGGTTGTGTGGTGAAGTTGGATGATCTTCCTGGTGGGTCTAAAGCATTTGAACTAGTAGCTAGATTCTGTTATGGTGTGAAGTTTGAACTCACTGCATCGAATGTGGTTTGCCTACACTATGCTGCTGAGCATCTTCAAATGACAGAGGAAATAGCAGAAGGCAATTTGATCACTCAGACAAAGATCTTTATCAACCAAGTCGTCATTCGTAGCTGGAAAGATTCGATAAAAGCACTCGTGATGTGCAACAATCTTCTCCCACATGCTGAAAATCTTCAGATCATTAAGAGATGCCTTGATTCTCTAGCTGTTAAAGCTTGTACAGATCCCAATCTGTTTGGTTGGCCAATGGTGGAGCATGGCACAATGCACAGCCCTGGTGGGAGTGTTTTGTGGAATGGAATCAGCACAGGAGCCAGACCACGAAATTGTAGTTCTGATTGGTGGTATGAAGACGTCTCTTCATTGAGTCTTCCCTTGTATAAGAAGCTGATCTCAGTCATGGAATCTCGAGGTATCAGACAAGAAGTAATAGCAGGCTCCATGACATTCTATGCCAAAAGGTATCTGCCTGGTATTAGTAGGCATCACTGTATGGCATCTGTAGCTCTGACAGCTGCACCATCTGAAGAAGAACAGAGACAGCTTCTTGAAGAGATTGCAAGCATGTTACCTTTACAAAAGGGTGTGATATCAACTAAGGTCTTGTTCGGTCTTCTTCGCACTGGCATGATTCTGCAAGTGAAACCATCATGCATTTCTGACCTGGAGAAAAGAATCGGGCTGCAGCTAGACCAGGCCACTTTGGAGGATCTTCTGTTGCCAAACTTTTCATATTCTATGGAGACACTGTACAATGTTGACTGTGTACAACAAATTCTTGAGCACTTCTTAGCCATGGTTCAAGCTGCTGATTGTGCATCCCCTAATATGGTTGATGATGAGCAAATAACTGGTTCACCTTCTCTGGAACCTGTTACTACTGTTTCCAAGCTAATCGATGGGTATCTAGCAGAGATTGCACCAGATGTCAACTTAAAGCTTCCAAAGTTCCAAAATCTGGCTGGTGCAGTACCTGATTATGCACGGCCACTGGATGATGGACTATATCGTGCTATTGACATCTATTTAAAGGTATTTATTCCAGCACATTGCATCAAATATCATGATTGTAATATGGATCTCCACCAGCACAAACTTGTGCTTCTTTTTCTCACAAGATTATCATATTTTGTCTTGTAACCTTCAACAACTTGCTGTCAAATATTTGAAATGAATGTTCTATTTCTATTATAGAATCTCAATATATATGTAGTTTGATACATATTAAGTGTTCAAGTTTTCAATCAAATTTGTCATTATCCTGTCGAAATGTTACTGATATATTTATTACTCATTATACATATTACAGGCACACCCATGGCTCACTGAAGCTGACAGAGAACAGCTCTGCCGGCTGATGGACTGCCAGAAGCTCTCCCTAGAAGCCTGCACTCATGCTGCACAGAATGAGAGGCTTCCATTACGATTAGTGGTTCAAGTGCTTTTCTTTGAGCAACTTCAACTTAGGACCTCAATCGCTGGTTGCTTGCTTGTTTCTGACAACCTTGATGGATCACGGCCCTTGAGGGGTGGACTGGTGGGTTCAGGTGATGCTGGTGGGTGGGCAAGCACCGTGAGGCAAAACCATGTATTGAAGGAAGGAATGGATAACATGAGGATGAGAGTGTCGGAGCTTGAAAAGGAGTGCATGAGCATGAGACAGGAGATTGAGAAGTTGGGCCGCGGGAACAGCAGGTGGAGTAGTGTCCCAAAGAGGTTTGGATTTACGATCAAGTCACAGATGTGCAGTGCCCAAGAGGAGTCTGTAGGTGATCATTGCAGGAATAGAATGAACATCAAGACTGAGAAATTTCCAGAAAAGCTCATGAAACACAAGAAGCAGTCATCTGCAGGTTCATGACCTTTCCTGTGAGGTATCGTGGGATTGTAACTCTAGTTTTCTTTTTTCATCAAAATAGGAAGCATGAATCCAGATGATATGTTTCTTGAACAAATTTGATCTTGAGATTGGCCTTCAAAAAGGAAACCTAAATCTTGGGTTAACCATCTGCTTCCTACTAGTGACTGACATGCGACATCTGCAAACTGAAACAGATCTGTATCTTTCTGATTTGCTTGTGCTTCTTGGTTTCTCGTTATATAAATCTGCTCATTGTTCAAGATTGTATAGATCTTGAATTGGATCAGCCTTTTACATTGTGTTGTCTCATGCAAGCTCAATGAGCAAATCAGCGACAAATAGCTGCTGTATATTATCTCTGAAAAAGAGTTTGGCATGAAAATAAGCAGTGCTATGCTTTTGATTTGAATAATGAACCAGGTAAGATAGATCTGCCAGTTTAGAGCTCTGTGAATACATCAAATGCTTGTCAGACGCAGAATTCTTAGCTTTTGAGTAAAATGGTAAATCAATATTGTTTTGCACTTCACAGCATCAGGTTAATGGAGTTTATTGATAACTTGCGATAGCATGGTGATCTGCAGTTGATTACTTTCATTACTAGTTGCTGCTTATATGAATAAATGCAAGGAAAACTGCAGGTTTGCAGAACAGAAGCAACTGAATGGGAAATCCTTCAAATGACTCAATACAGGCTAACAAAGTTTGTTCTTACAGCTCCATTCCATCAAAGATTTATGAAAGGTCTATATGATCCAAATTCTTGCTGTGTTACACTTGTGTCCCTTGATGAAAGATTTACCTCAGTTTTTTTTTGTTCTTTTTGTTGCAGTCCATTTTCCTGCCATTGTGATTATAGTTCTGTCTGATTTAACTCCTGAGTTCAAACAAAATTTTCCTAGCTTCTTGTTCATGATCATTGTTAATGAGCTGGGTGGAAATAAAGTGCAAATTACATGTTACCCTTTGTATTTGGACTATGCAGTCTTTGTATAATTTTGAAAATGAAACAAATAAACTCATTTATCATAACGTTGTTAATTGTATTAACGAAAAATACAATATATGACATCACATATTGAATAATTTTAATTATTATTTATTTTTAATAATTTTATTAGTAATAAGATAATATTAATGTTAAAATTATCTTTTTATTCATTATTTTTATGTTCATCCAACGAGTGATGTCACGTATTGTGTTTTTCATCGATACAATTAACGATATTATGATAAATAAGATTATTTATTTTATTTTCAGAATCATAGATATTTTTTATATTTAAGTATAGAAATCATGATTTTAATAAAATCTAAGTATATGATGTAATAAGTAACCAGCCCTCTTGCATATGTGAGGTGCCGAAATCATGAAAATAAATAGCAGTTCTCCTCAAAGTAGCCTTCGTTCGCTGCTTAATACGATATCAACACCATGCAATCTCCATCATGTGTGTAACGTATGGCACATACACTCACTCTGCTTCCCCCTTCTTGAGATCTTTCCGCAGCACCTTTAGATGGCATTTATCACATTAGAAGTGAAATGGTTTACTCCTCACTACCTGTGTGTGCTATGTTGGACTCAAAATTAGCTCATGAACATTTTGATCCACAGGGTCTGTTGGGCAATCCATAGCTGTTCTTAGTCCACAGCCAGGTCCAAATGCAGTCCATTTCGGATCCAAATCAATCTCATCTGCCTAGTTCTCAGTTCATCAGTTGAAGACTTGTAATTGGCCCAATCTTTTTTCATAGTTTCTGATTTTTAAAGGTAATTTGATTTCTCACCATTGAATTCAAGGAAGGTATCTTTCACCCTTTATAAATCCAAAGCCACAATTATACATTTTGTGGAAACATCAAAATTAAGTTGATATAAGTGGAGAAGATCAAACTGCAAGACTTGTTTTTTTCCAACAAAGTCAACCTCACTATCTTCCTCAATACATTCATTTCAAAAGCATATTACATGGAGAGTCATTAACTATATGATTGGAGACACTTGTTGCTATTTATTTTGAAATCCTTCATGTTCATAGAGGTGGTGCCAAGTGGTTGCTAGTTTTACCAGGATATCTAAATCAAGCTTTGTGTAGAAGGAACATTAGCCTGATGTTTTCTTTAGGTGATATAATAATAATAATAATATGCATACATACATACATACATACTACTTGAGATGAAAGGAAAAATACATGAATTCCTGATTGTAATTCTGCATCATCTAAAGATTTTGAAGGCTTTCTGTGCATTTGTTCTTGAGATCTTTACAGCAAGCATCCAGTGCCAAGCTGCTTAGCCTTTTACACAATCTAAAAGGAAGCACCTTTTGCTTGCTTTGCTTTAAAAAGGTCACATATGACAGGAACATGTGAAATAGAGTTGCAGTTGGGACCTCATGATTAAAATAATGAGGTCGAAGGTGTCCTGTCTTCCTTTTGAAGGGATCGACAAGGAAAAAGGCATCTTCTTTGCTCGTCAATCAAGATCCCCTGTGGAGTGGTCCTCTTGCTTGTCATCTGTGATTTAGTTCTTGGAACATTGAACGAGGAAGACAGGGAAGCATCAGTGTTTGTAATTTATCCCTGTCACCCTCATGGACATTTCCCACAAGTGACTGACTGGTTGTCCAGACTGAGTTAGTTCTTGTTTTGCTACCAATAGATCCATCATGCGAGGCTAAAGGCCACTTGCTTTGTTGTTGACGATGAAGGAGTAACATGCATGTTTCTTGAATTTGAAGGGATCATAAATTTTACTTGCATCTCACTGGTTTCTTTAGAGTTAAATAAAGATTTTCTCACTGTGAATATTTTACATGTTTCAAAATTTCTCTCTACTCAGACATATCGTAAATTTGGATCTAACTTAAATTAAACTTTAGTACTCATCGTATATTATGTTTCAAGGAGATTAGAGATTTAATGGATAACCTTACAAAGATTGTGTTGGGGCATGCTTAAATCAATAAAATTATAATAACAAAATCAATGATGCACTTTGGACTCCTTTTATAATGAGTTAGGTAACTCAAGGATATATGAAATTAGAAGTTAGCTCGAGCATTGATTATATGAAATCATCGATCATCATTGTGTTGTGAAGATATGCACTGAATCGTCAAATATTATAATAAATATGTATCAATTTAATTAATATAAAAAAATTAATAATGATTATATAAGGTCGAGTGAACGTCCACAAGGATACACACACACATATATATATATATATATATATATATATATATATATATATATATATATATATATATATATATATATATATATATATATGAATGATTATAAATGAATACTATTTGATTGAAAGAGAAGAAGGATGAATCACCTTGACAAAACCTAAAATCATGCAACAAGGAAGAAGGTATATTTGTAGTCCATTTTCATTATTTTCTCAATCAAATCAACATTTTGAGAGAGGTACATTTGTATCATTTTTCCCAATCAAATAAACGTTTTCAGAGAGTCCATAGCTTTTTTTTTTTTGGGTATCTTATGTGAATGCCATTAATTATTTTTCAGCTGTACTACAACAAAATACTGTACACAAACTAAAAGGAAGAATCAGTATATGCATTATATCTATACATACTGCAATAGCATTATTGTATCATCCTTATTCAGGTCGGAAAGAACAAACCCTAATGGCAGAAACCTGCTCTTCTGTCACTTCAAATTATGTGCATCTGCGTTCATGCGACTGCGTAGAACCACTTGCTTCTTCTGTCAAGGAATTTGCATGATTGGATCGTTGCTGCATTCCTATCTCTTGTTGTCGTTCGAGATCAAAGAAAGTGATGAGCAAACCTATTCACCTTCTGATCCTTCTCACTGTCAGAAAAAGCCACCACCATAAAGCAGCAGCGTTCCAGTTTGCATGCAGATGTTTCTATTTGTCTGCCAGCAATCATTGACCTGAAGCATATGCACAATTCCAAAGAATCCATCTGGCTGCACACTCTCTCCTTCTCGACCAAGAGCAATCATGGGACGATCCAAACCTCATTTGACCGTCCAACAAGTTTGTCTGTAGGACCATCTTTTGCCTATGGCTTTCTCTTTTGATGTGCACCTTCTTCCTTTTCCTATAATACAGATTTATTTGTTAATTAACTCAAGGATTTGGTGATTTTTATAGTATTTCCTATTTCGAGATGTAATAAAAGAAAGATGAAGAATCTAATCAAATTTATGATGTGTATCTAAGGATCTATTGCCTTGAAGATAAGAGATATAAGACAAAAAATCCTATCATTAAACTTCTTTATGATATGTTTTTATAATATTATTAAGAATATGAGAGAGAATTTGGTACATAATATATAATATTTTAATATTTTTTTATAAAGAATAAATAGTGAAGACATATTTTGATAAACAAAGTTTTTATCAATTAAATTAACTATCACCTTTGTAATGCATAGTTTTTAGAAAATAAGCAAGTCAAAATATTAGTAATTAGTGTTTTATGAGGAAGATAAATGAAAGAAGTAATAAGTTACTATCATCAGAATCAAAACCACTTGATTTCTATCTCATACTAAAAGAAAACAAAATTTTATATATATCCCTCCGAAATTAGAGATAATATATTTTCTCTTCCAAATATCAAGATCCTCTCTCTATATATTCCATTAACATTCATAAAATTTGAATCAAAATATAATTATATATTATTATTTTTTAGAATTTCAATTAACAATCAATATATATATATATGTAATATTTTGAGAAATTATAAATTTCAATGTAGCATATATTTGACATATATCCCTTGAAATATTACATTAATTATATATTATTATATCCATTCAAGAAAAACTCAGATAAGTTAATATGTAATTAGTTTGAATTAAAATATGAATATATATATATCTAAAATATTCCTAGCATTTTGATAATATCCAATTAGGGGAGGGGCGTGCATGTAATTAGGTCAAAGGTAAAATGCCGACTTCTCCGCAACTCAGCTTATGACTGCTTACCGCCGTCTTATTTTACTGAAGTCTTCATTTCTGACTTCTTTATCATAGTGTTTTGGTCTGCTTCCTTTTTGTCCTCTCGTTTCCACTCCTTTCGTCTTCTCTACGTCTCCTTTTCTTAACCCTAAATCTCGGGTGGAGGTACGAGACCGAAAAGGGTACACAGATCCCTCCCATCCCCTCCCTTTCGTGCTCCCGAAGCCGTAGCAAAAAATCTTATAAAGTCCAGGTGCCCTTTTTGTTGCTCTTGTTTGGTTACTGGTTTGGCTTGTCATCGACATAAGTGGTGATGCTTTGTTACTGTAGTTGGTTGTGGTGGGGAGCCTGTTGGATTGAGTTTTTGGCCTTGAGTTGTTCTCCGCTCGTGGCTTGCAAAGTTGATGTCTTTGGATGTTGGGGATGTTCTTGGTTCTCGCGAATTACCATCATTGATGGATTTTATTTTGGGATTTTTAGCTTCCGAATTTCACTATATATGTTGAAATTTTCCGCATCAAAGTTTTGTTTATAGTCATCAGTGTTGGTGCGCGCTTAGTTCTTGTGAACTGCCACCAAAGATGGAATTGGTTTCGGGGATTCGAGCTAAATTTCGCTATTTTATTGGCATTTCACTCCAAGATTTTGTCTTTTTCAATTGAGTTTGGTACGCGTTTATGGAATTAGACCACCGACAATCTTTTGTTCTGTCACTCTTGGAAAATTCTTTTACGCTTGCCCAAAGTAGGACGAAAGGATTTGATTTTTGAGCCGTTTGATGGGTTTCTATTTTTTTTTTTCATTTTTTGTTTCTGCATTTGTTAGAATCTATTTTTGCTATGATTTTTGGTTTTTTCCTTTGGATGCAAACCAAAAGTATGCTTGTTGAGGCATTTTTTTTTCAGCGAATCTTTATGTTGCTCTTGCCTCCTCCCGTGTTCTTTCTCTAAACCCAAGTCAACCCTTTGTCACCATCGAACTCAGGCCCCATGCTCTTCGAGCATTGGGAGCACCTCCTTGTCACTGATGTCGCTTTGCTTTGGCACGTCTGAATGCCGTCTATGCAACCGCAACCATCGCCACCTAAAGTTTGCCTATTGGTTAGATACTTTGTAATGTCCGAACCCAATACTGACATCCTTCCAACAATTGCCAAGAGTGTTGACTTTCCATCTATGCATAAATCTGTTACTACTTTTGATCGTTTGAAATCAGATTTTGTTGCTATTAAACATTTCTGGAAATTGACTAGAAGACAATAAATAGCAACCAAACATTTTTTGGAATCATATATTTAGTTTCAACAAATCTTAATCTGCGAAAATGATTCTGTTTGTTGATGATAGATTGGGATATTGAGTTTCAAATTTTCTAAATTTGACATTTTATATTGAATTTTACAGATCAAAGGGCAAATCATGCCTGTATTTTTAACCTGCTCGATTTCAACATTAGCACTAAGAAACAGTTTTGTTATTTATATATTTTTTTGCATCAAGATGGATTCTTTGATGGCTGTATTTTTTAACCTTCTTGATTTCGATATTAGCACTAAGAAACAATGTCGATATATATATATATATATATATAGCATCTAGATGGGTTCTTTGATGTATAGTTCATTTCTTAATGAGTTTTCAGAGTGGCATGACTGATTTTTACTTTCAGAGTTCAGGTCAAAATGGCAAGTTCCGAGGTCTTGAATGATAAAATTGGGTATACCAGTTGCTAAAGACTTGCTATGAAGACGCCATTTTTAAGGGAATGGTCACATTGATGATGACTCAGCATTATATGAAAATTTGTTTCTTGATTGGGATTCCTACTTGGTTGAGCTTTCTGACGGGTTGAGTATCTTAAGAATGGTGAATGATTCAGTCATTTAAGGGAATGATTAATGCCATATCTGAGGAGGCAACTGAATAAATTGCTCTGAAACAAGCAGAGATTGTGGTTTTAAATGAGAAGCTGCAGACTTGTAAGTTTGCTGTAGGTCTAGATCAAACTTTAGAGTGGTGATGAAGAATTTGCTGATGATGGAGGCAGTAGTCGATGACAGACGATCGGATTTACGTAAGAGCTGTTTAAGTGTTAATGGAGATTGCAAATATGATGATAACGTAAATAGGTTAAAGATTATGGTGGAAAATCAGATACAATGCCTGAAGATGGATCTTCAACAACTAAAGGGCTCAGAAATGGTGAGTAGAGAGGATCTTGGTCAGTGCAACATTCCTCATGGAGCAAAAACTATTGAAAATTTTCTAGAAGTAGATCAAAAAGTCGATGTTTTGAAAGACATTTTAGCTGTAGGATTCAAGCAAATTAGTGCTGCAATCTTCTCAAAGGAAAATATGTTAAGTGAACTTCAATGGGAGCACGAGCTTCAAGGAGAAATTAGTTCTATTGTGCTTCAGGATTCTGTTAAACGTCTCCAGGATGAATACGAGACTATGTTGTATCACCAAACTCTTTATATTAAGTATTTAAATAAAAACTGGAAGAAAAAAGCTTCTGAGTTCAGTGCACTGCGTGATGAACTCCATGCTTTATCTGATGAGGTGAGTAATCATGAAAATTTTGAAGATTGGAGCATTGCAAAAAGGAAGGAACATTTTCCTCTGAAGGTATTAGAAAATCACAATTTTCCATCTCAATCTGTGGAAAATGGTACAATGATGGTGGGAACATCTGCAGACTCTGGAGAACATATGTTGGATATTGCTGATCTTCCCCAATTGAAGCACATGACCAAGGAGGAACTGCTAGCTTATTGTAAAACTGAAATGGCCAACATGAGGAGAAGACATGATTCAGCATTGCAAGAGAAGACAGAGGAATTATTCAGGCTCAAGAGAGAGTTCCTCAAGGAAAAGGGTTCCTCAACTTTTAGGAAAGATAAGGAGTGTGAACATTTAAGGAAAAAGTTACCGGAATTTATTATTAAATTGGATGAGATTCTTGTCGTGAGAGATATGTTTCATCCAATCTATAAGTATGATGATGAGATGCAGAGCTTTAAGTTGAGGATTGATTCCCTGTTTTCTGAAAATAAGCACCTCCAGAATTTGCTTATTAGGAAGACAAATGAACTAAAGTTTCTGTCAGCACAGTTCTCGGATGCAGTTAGCCAGATCTCACTCAATTCATCTCTGGAGGCAAAGTACTTGAGACAAGTAAAAAAACTGGAAAGTGATATTGAAGTTGGAAGGGCAGAAGCTAACTTTAGAGATGCAATATGTAATACTATTTTAAGAGGATTGATTGATGACCATAGACATGCAATGCTAGATACTGAGATTGAGGTCAAATTTTTCATAAAGATCTATAGCACTATGTTCAGAGGGGTGATTTATGATGCTATATCTAGTATGAATCCTGCAATCTTAAAATGTTATGAAGAAAAGATTTCTCTCGAAGCACTGGTTGTAGAGAAGGAGAAGGCATTAACGTCAGAAATTGAAGAGAACCAGAAGTTGAAGAAGGTTATAGCATCAATTTTATCATCAATAGAAGAAAAGGAAAAGTTAGCTTCAGAAGTTGCATCCACATTAATTCAACAAAAGCAGCAGCTTGATGTTGCTCATCAGGAACTTAACACGCTCAGAGATCAAATAAGCATTCAAGAAGCACAGATTTCAGATAATAAAATGGAATCAAATTTATTGAGGAGCAGATTCAATGGGACCTTACAGAAAATTTATCATTATGAATTGGAGATGGATAAACTTCAAGAGAAACTCAAAGTTGCATCAGATGCATTAAGGGAAGCAGAAAAGCAGAAACTCATGCTTCTTGGTGTTATCGAGGATAGGCAGAGGACACTATCATCATCCTTCGACAAGGACAAAGAGCAAGTAAAGCAGTTGAAGTCTATCACTGTTTCTATGATGGAATTATCTAAATGTTTTACAGATTTAGGTAGTCAGTTGATGGAGAGCACTAATAGAAATGAATCTAGGTGTGTATTCTGTTTTTCTTGATACATGTCTTTTATCTGTTTTTAAGTGATGATTTTTGTAATTCCTTTCTCTAGACTAGAACATAAGTTTCTATCCTTGGTCGTATTTTATTAGTGCTTTTCTTTGATGTAAGAGTTTTGTTTGTTTTACCATGCTCATTGGTAGTCAGTTACTGAAACACCTAGATATCCTTCTGTTTGTTTTACCATGCTCATTGGTCGTCAGTTACTGAAACACCTAGATATCCTTCTTTTTCCTGAAAAGTTGGATGCTATCTCTCTCTCTCTCTCTATCTCTCTCTCTCCAAGTGGCTAATGCACTTTTAGTTAGATTGATGAATCATTTTTATCATTTTTTTCTTTTGTTCCGTACACATAAGCATAACTTTGAATGATTTATTATTTTTTTTGCACACCAAATAACTTAGTTTTGAATAATGTTTGAGGTGTACCTAACAAGTGTTGTTGGAGATGTATCTACCAAAAGTTTCTATGGTTGGAAACATGTAGCACATCCCTCAAAGGTAAAACCAGTATTATGGTGCTAGCCCTATCAAGCATTTATATGGTGTAGCAGAATACATCCAGTATGTGCCAGGGCATTGTCAGGTCGGCACAAACATAAAACAACATTTTACTACCTGAATTAAATCTTAGTGTTTGAAACTCTAGCAATCAAATTTTTGTTTGCAGCTTATATATAAGTTTACATAATGGTGAGAAACACTAAACATTTGTCCTTAAACGAATGCATGAAATTGAGTATATAAGTTCCAGGGCATTGTCAGGTCAGTACAAACATGGCAAGCAACACTTTACTACCTGAATTAAATTTTAGTGTCTGAAACTCTAGCAATCAAATTTTTGTTTGCGTCTTATATGTAAGTTCACATGACAGTGAGAAACACTTAAACATTTGTCCTTAAACGAATGCATTTGCTTTTCTAATTGAGTATATAATGCACAACTGAATGACTATTGGCATGACTGCATTTTATGTCAGTTAACCCTTGCACTTGTCTGCACACAGACATTCACCTATAAAGATGGCTGGTTCACTTTAAATAAAATCATTGCTAGGAAACTTTATTATTCATATTACTTATATGTACTTATTTCTTGCTTTTAAAATGATGCACATGCATGTCTAAAGTAGCATATAATTTGCTATTGAATGCTAACCTAACCTGCATGATATTGTTGCACATTTGTGTACACAGCACACACACACACACACATCATATATATATATATATATATATATATATATATATATATATATATAGACACACGAACACACACACACATCTATTCTAAAATGGACTTGCAATATTATGGCATGATAACCATTGCAGTGCAATATCTATATCTGCCTAATGTAGAAAACATTAGAAAAGGGGTGTACCAGTGCACGATGCTCCCATCAATGCCTAATATAGAAATTGCATGTAACTTATCAGCAGCTCAGATGTTAACGTTTTGATATAGGCAATTAAGATGTTCTCATGTTCAAATTACTGCTCATAGGCCTTGCATGAATTTTAGCCCTCAATATACTTGTTTAAGCTGTTGATAGAATGGACTCTGTTGTGTGCATCTTTCATAGTGTCTTGACTTTAAATCTTGGATTGTATATATATGCAGAAACATCTTTCTGTTACTGAATATTTTAAAGTTTTAAACCAATCAATCCTTGTACAATTTGATATCTAGACTTCCAGCTATGAACTTCATATCTTTCTGTGTCTTTGAATTTCACTAAATGTCCTCTTGTCGTTTATTCTCCACAGGTTGAAGGTCTTGAGTCATCAGTTGAATTCACTGGTGCAACTGGCTAGCCAAAAGAAGAAGAAGTGTTTCTGGTACAAAAATATGCTTGATGTCAGATGCTCTGACCTGCAGAAGGCTGAAGCCGAGGTATATATTTACAAACATATCATCAATTGATGATTTTGGACAATCTTTATTGATGAAATCACCATAATTAGTGAGTTGTATTCTATGTTTTTGTGGTTGCGTTGAATATTGATCTGGCGTATGTTACTTCCACATTCAAATTTTCTGGTGGAAGGGCATGCTTGTGGAAAAGAGAGTTAGCATATAAATGTTGAAAACTGACAAACATTAGATGTATGAAATTAAGAGGACAAGCAGAATCACAAACATTTAATTATATTATTTAATTCACAATGCAAACTTCTGATGTACCTAGAAATCTAGATTTTTTTGCTTATGATCTATGTATACACTTCTCATTTTATGTAACCAGCTAGCTTTTTGATCCTTTATTCTGGCTCAGGTTGATCTTCTTGGTGATGAGGTTGAGGCTCTTGTTGGGCTTCTTGGAAAGATATACTTAGCACTTGATCATTACTCTCCAGTATTGCAACACTATCCAGGAGTAAGATGGTTTGCCTGCAACTTACTATTATTGTGCCCTTTTTTTTCCAGCAAGTTCTGTTTGAATGCATTGAGAAACTTAGTGGGTCATATTGTTTACACCATGTCTTTCAAGTCTGATGCATCTTTTATTTGCCTATGATTTATGATTTGCTTCATGATAGTTTTTTGTTTTGACATTTTCTTATGCTGATTGTAAGTATCGTTTTTGTTCTGACAGGTAGTGGAGATCCTAAAATTGGTTCAAAGAGAACTAATTGGTGAAAACGATCATAATTCTTTGTAACCACCAGGTAAATTGAAAATTAATCTAATACCATATATGTTATGTTACATAAAAGTTTTCTTTTTATAATTTGAAGCATATAGTCTTATGAACACTTCCTTTTTCCTTTTCTCTTTTGCAACTAGTTTTCAACAAGATGTCTGTGTGCCATTGAAGTGTACATGTGGTTAGCTTGAAGCACTCATTGCCTCGAAAAAAATTAGAACAGCCAAAGATGAAGCTGAGGGACTCAGTTGACTCCTGGTGGTTGCTTTGACCAATGTTTTTTGTCTCGGAGCATCTTCAGGTGTTTTCATCATGATTATTATCTTGATCTTCCGCAAATATTGCAAAGAAAAGGAGACACTGCTGATTGGTTGCCTTCCACCTGTAAGTTGATACACTTGGAACGCACAGTGCAAGCTCAACAAGGTAGAATGTATATATGGTAGCACGTAGTCTCTGCTCTTTGATGCAAGTATTGCTTGTTCGCGTCAACCACATATGTAAACAGATAGTGACTAACTCATCTTTAGTTGTCCATCTTCCCATAGTTTCTTCAGTGGAGTAATATGCTGTGAAAGCTTAGTTTTTGTATCTGATAACAGTACATGGAAAATAGTAAATATGAGGTGATGGCTGGCCGAAAATACAAGGTCATTGTGTCGTAGTCTTTAGTTCAATTTATTGCATCAAGAATGTATTATTATTTTTTATGGTGACAAATAATTCGGCAACAGTCAACAAATAGCGTTGCAATTGATTATCTTGTGCTGCATTTTGTAGTCGTAACATGTAAAGATTCAGAATTGATCTGAACTATGATCAAAGCTTCTGTTGTGTGTATGTATGCATCAGTTTGCAGATTGTTTTCCTTTGGTCGGTGTGTCATAGATATCTCACTCAGGTATGAATCTGGATCATACACACTGTTTCATGAGTCCTAAGATGTAATTCAGACCTCTCGCGTAGGTATGATCGGAAAATCGTCCGAAGATGCTACCCGTATCGTTCACCTGCGAACGCTGGAAAAAGGATGAAGCAGATGGAAACCGAGTAGAAACTCTATAACCGAAATACTCTTCCAACAGTTTTGATTGGACTAGAGAACAAGTTTTATGCAAAGGCATTGTATAGCAAAATGGCATGTGTAGATGCTGAATGCAAGGGGAGAAGAGGAAGAGGCAGAATATATTTTGAATATGTAAAATTCATGCAATTAGCTTGATAAATCTACATAAATGGGAAAAGACAATTAAGAAGAGTTTTTGTTAGTGAAGATTTCTTAGGAAGTTTATCGCAAGACTTATAAATTCTTAGGAAGTTTATCGCAAAAAGAAAATAAGGGAAAAGAGAAGAAACAAAGTGACTTATTAATGTAAATCCACTTGGCTTTCAAGCTTACAACAACAAAGACATTCAATTCTTCATCATTGCATCAGAGGAGCTAAAGGGGGTTGAGTAAAAAACACAAGATGTCATGAAGAAACATTTCCAGTCACATCTTTATCAGTTCTGATGTAATTTGACTGGGAAAGCTAAGAAGATTTGGCCATAAGGTAAGGAAATTAGCTCACCAGATCCCACTAGAGTTCAGAAAATTATGTTGATGGAACCAAGTCAACACTGCCCAATTCACTTCTGTTCTTATGGAAGCAGTGTGTTGGCTTTTTACAAAAGGAGTTATCTATTGCATTTAACAATCACATTGCTTATCTTCATGAGGAGTATGACATTTATTGGTAATTGGTCTCAACCCATAGTCAATATAGTACAATATAATTGATTTGGATTTAGCTGCTAGTGACCTGATAGAATATTTCTTTGGATATTTTTCATTCAGATAACGTTGACATAAAGAATCGATGATAGAGAATATTTGTATTCTTCTAGTGATTAAAAGGCCAAAGGCAAATATTTCCGCATCACAAAGCAAACTATATATACATCAAGAGCACACAGGCATATTCTGAACACCCACACCACACATCATCAATGATTGCCAATGTGAAAACCTCAGTAGAATTATTGGCCTTCAAATATCATCACAAACAAAAGGGAAGTCCTCTTCAAAAGTGCACCTTTCGGAAATAAATCAGATGGAGACAAATATCAGCCGAAATATGTAAATACTTTCACATCTAAGTTTCTATTTGATGGATTAATTTTGATAAGACATCTCTATTCGAGTAATTTCTTTTCAACATTTTGACCATTGAAATTTATGTTCTTATTAAGATCATTTATTTGATCTGAATCCAAGTTGATAAAGTAAATATGAATCCTTAATAATTATTTTGAGTTCGATCAGATCTTATTACCGTTAGATTTGAATTACATATTCTTTTAATATATATTTTTAGAGAAAATTATTAGTTATATACGATGTCATTTCCGAGATCATATAATCAAATGAATTATTATTTTTATCATATTAAGACATGATAATACATATATCATCAATATACTGCGATATTAAGAACTTGATTTAGTTTGAAAATGATATACAATATCTCCGAGCTCGTTCGAACTATCCAAATTGACTTAAGTATCAAAAAAGACATTAGTTTAGTTAAAAATATTCTTGATTTAATTTTATAAACTCGATATCTTCAGGAGAATTAAAATTTACATTAACACCGACACAGAACGAATCTCTAGTGGTTCTAAAATTGCTTTCAACTGAACAATAAGAAACTACAGTAACAGTTGTCGGCATCACTGAAAACTTTGCTGTCTCTCAGTGACGTTTCATATGGAGAAGAACATGTGGTGGTGATCTTTGATCAAGCGAGATAGGTGGCAAATGTCAACCAAAGGGTATTGAGTGAACAACAAGAGGAGTCTGCGGCGCCGTGGTCAAAAGGCCCTTCAAAGACATGAAGCATTAATGGGATGGTGGGAGAGAACAATTTCTTCTTTATTATTGACCACCAATTCACCCATACATGAAATGTATTGGATATTTTTCGATTGCGGAGACTCACAATCAAGTGGTTGAAAATAACAAAAGGTCAAAATCATAATGGTCAATTATGACTCCATTTTCTTCCCATTGAAAATAATTAATTTTCAAGATGTTATGACGGAAAATTACGTAAGTTCAGACGAAATTAGGTGTCATAGAAATCAGAATCCAAAATCTTAATACTTGATTAGAGTAATAATTAAAAGTTCTATCACTATGACATTTTACATTCTAAAAATTTTCTTTTGGTATACTATGAGAAATTGAGAGAGGGTTTTAGCAAAAACCAAATGCAATTTGGCTATAATAATAAAAAGAAAAAAAAATTAATATCATCAACTATTAAATATAAACGCATAAATACTTCAAATTTCATTTTGTGTTAGTTGATGTGAATGAAGGCCTAATTCTGTGTTTTGAGTAAGTAAGAGCTTCTCTGTAATTAGACCACAGCAGAGAGGGTCGTACCCAATTACCCATAAAAACAACTTAAGAAACAGGACCTAAAGTCAAAGTCAAAGGGTAGACTTCGAACATCGTAGTGTTTTCCCTATGTTTTCTGGAATGTAACCTTCGTGTTCATAATAGCCACGCTTGGAGTCGGTCTCTCGCTCGGCCTTGCAGAAGTAGCATGCTGCTGTGCTCCTCTCACTCTCTTCAGCCTTGCAAGACATCCGTAGGCATCATTTCCTTCATCCTTCTTCGTCCATAAGTCCCTTCTGGGTTTCTTTTGTTCCTTTTGCTTTCTGTGTGTTGGAATTCACCGTCATGAACTGAGCTCCTCAGTTCTTTTGTTTGGTTCAGTGTGTGCTTGCATGTCATCTGTTGCGAAGAGCTTGATGTTACTCGATCCGAGTTCTTCTTTTCCATGCTGTTTTACCTATAGAAAGATAAAAAGCCTGTAGGTTTTTGGATCTGATTTTATCTCTGACTTGTTAACTCATCAAGCTTGATTTAGCTGCAGCTTTGTTTCTCTTCGATTGATGTTAATTCTTTGATAAGATTAGTTTATATTGAATTATAATTAGAGGCATAAAGCAAATGTTCTTTCACTACTTGTATTTAGTGTTTCCTTTGTGGATGTCAATGGTGCTGCTCATTATCTTACTGCTGCAGCTCTAGAAATGGTGTATTTGCCATCGGCCGTATCGACTTCAAGAAAATGAACTGAATCCTGCTCATGTACAACATAATTCATTGATTGCTCAACCTCACCTCATTCGGAAAGTGGGCCTCGACAGATTTATTTCTCTACCATCCGCCATAATTTAAGCTGTCCTTGTGGCCTTAGCTATCTTCCATGGCATTATTGAACTGTAGTGTTCCTCGTCGGTGACCACCTCCGAGTGGAGCCTAGCTTTTGTTGTTTGTCTTCCCCTTGAGAGTTGTATTGGGATTCTTGCCCTTCAAGTCTACTAGTGGCTGTGCTGGAAAGAAACCAGAAGAAATGAAGGATTAAAGCTAAAATCTATAAAAGTTGAAGTGCAGATTAGGTTCCAATTTTAGTGGGTTTAATGCATGCTTGACAGTCAGGACTACTGTCTAATCAATTACAGTGATGAAGTGTGGCTTTGCTTCTGGTTGGGTAATACTTTGTTCATGAGACTGTTTCATGGAATATAGGTAATTGTATTATGTCAAAGAGAGCTATCTAATTAGTTTTTCTTTCTTTGACTTTGTACTCTCATTTGCTGGTTACTAGCTCTGCTGGTGTTGCTCTCTTGTCCAGTGTTCATACAAGATAATTTAGATATACTCATAAACACTGCCTCATTCTCTAGTACTGTAAGACATGATAAACTTACAGTTTCTCTTTGCTTGATTTTTCTGTTCAATTCGATCTCTCATTGGCATTCATAAAATCTGCAGCCTGATTGTTCTTGTATCTCAAGAAGCAACCCTGTCTTGCATACCTTTCTTCTATTGAAAGGAGGAAAACAAGTATCCTCTTGGGTGCTATCTAGTTAAGAAGTTACCAAGCATTGCAGCTCTAATCTATAACAAAAGGAAAGGTATCTTTTTCATCAATAAGAATGAAGTAAAGTAAGATCCAAAAGTCAAAGTTATGTTTGATCTGCCAGCAGAATTTGTCATCTTACCACAAGTTATTTTGTCCCAGCAGCTACTATCACCTATCACAATGGCATAGTTATCTTTGTGGCTGATAGACCATGAATCTCTAGTGTTAATGTAATACCTTCAATTAGTCTCATATAGGAAGTGAGCAAAGATTAATATTGACTTCTAAAGGTTTAACGAGTGTACAATGATAATTTTAGTTTAAGCATTTTGATTAGTTATTTAGACCAAACAGAAATAGACCAATTAGCTCATCAAATTCAGGGTCGTGACATTTGATACCGAAGTTATAGACTAGTGGAGCCACCACTGGGCATAACCCCGAAAATCTAATCTATCTTTGAGAGATGTAACAATTTGAAGATAAAGATAAAGAACTTGCTCTGAGAATTAATTGTGCTGAGTATAATACTTTCTTTCAATTCAGTTTATTTTATGAAGCATAATAATGTGTTCTGATTCCCCCCTTTTTTTTTGTTTCCATTCTAATACAGGAAAATTGTCGGTTCGCATTTGCTGCGACTTCTCACTTACTGGAATCAAAAGATTGATCGCTGGTCGGATCGCATGTTCATGACTTGCTTATCTTTCTTGTTCAAAAGGAGGAATACATCACGGCAGCAAGCCATTACAAATTTTGGAGGTAAATGAATTAATAGTTGGGACTCATCAATAGCTTTCGGAGTCGACTGTATCTTCTGAGTGCCATATGCCATTTATAAGTTAATGTATCTTCTGAAATATAAAAAGCATGATTTTGATCACAGATATTCCTGGAATGGAATATATGATAATCTATTCTTACAAGGAATTGAGCAGTGCCACGGAAGATTTTAGCCCTGGTAATAAAATTGGTGAGGGTGGTTTTGGTTCTGTTTACAAGGTATTGTTCTCAATCTGATGTCAGTCAACCAAGATGTATGATTTCACTGGATCATTCATTACATTTATGATTCAACTGTAGGGGAAGCTTAAGGATGGAAGAGTTGTTGCCATAAAGGTGCTCTCATCAAAGTCAAAACAAGGAGTAAGGGAGTTCTTGAATGAAATCAAAGTTGTCTCCAGCATTGCGCATGAAAACCTGGTGAGGCTGTATGGGTTCTGTGTGGAGGGAGATAACAGGATTCTGGTCTACGATTATCTCGAGAACAACAGCCTTGCACACACACTTCTTGGTAACATCAAACACCATGCCGGATAAATCTTCACTGAATGCTACTAATCATCATTCTGCTTCTTGTTGTCTATTCTCATCAGGTGGGGGTCACAGTAACATACAATTCAGCTGGGAGACGCGATCCAGGATCTGCATTGGTGTGGCTCGAGGTCTTGCTTTCCTTCACGAGGAAGTTCGACCTCGTATTGTGCATAGAGATATAAAGGCAAGCAATGTTCTTCTTGACAGCCATCTCACTCCAAAGATCTCTGATTTCGGATTGGCGAAGCTTCTGCCACCAAATACGACGCATGTCAGCACTCGGGTTGCTGGCACGATGTGAGCTCAACATCTGATGCACTGATTCTGCCGTCTCTGCATTTTTCAAGCAGTTTAATTCCTTTTTTTTTTCCCTTCGTTTTCGTACTGTTCTGCTTTGAGTTAAATCCATTGTGTCCAATTCTGCTCATGTTTGCAGAGGTTACTTAGCACCTGAGTATGCCATACATGGGCAGTTGACGAGGAGGGCAGATACATACAGCTTCGGTGTTCTTCTCTTGGAAATAGTTACTGGCAGATGTAACACGAACACAAGATTGCCTTGCGAGGATCAGTTTCTCCTTGAAAGGGTAAGCAACAGGTGTTTGTGACTCACTCGATCAGAATAAGCATCACTGCATTTTTTTTCGTCTGTTTGCCTGCTCTTGCAATCTATTTGGAGAGGTTCATATATCTTGCAGACATGGGGACTTTACGAGCGCGGCGAGGTGTTGAGCATTGTGGACGCATCTCTAGGCGACGATTTTGATGCTGAGGAGGCGTGCAGGTTCATTAAGATTGCCCTCGTGTGCACGCAAGACGCACCGAGGCTTCGTCCCTCCATGCCCGCGGTCGTACGGATGCTGAGAGGAGAAAGCAACGTGAGCATGGAGATCACCAAACCCGGCCTGATCACAGACCTCATGGACCTCAAAGTGAGACGACAGAGGGATGCCGGTGACCCTGATGCATCACCTGTTGTGTTCACAACGCTCCACGGCTCGCCGTCGTCGTCGTCGGGGAACGCAACGGCAATCATGTCCTCCTCCACGGCAGCTGAGCTCGCCTGAGGCAGCACGTTTCGAAATGATCATCGAGCTTATTCCACCATTAAAAAGAACTCCCCATTATGGGGAATAGAAAAATTATAACTGGACATGTCTTTAGTGAGTGATATAAATAGGAGGCATCTTCTTGTTTCAATTGCTCATCTAATCTAAAAATGGATTCCGAGTTGATGGCAGACCACTCTGTGACAAGCAACCGTCCAAGCTCCCTTCAGCCAAACTTGGTACCACCTCTCCCTCTGGATCACCCTCCAGCTTGGTGCGCTGGTAAAGAACTGGATTGAGGGAAGGCAAGCATCTTGTTAGGGGAATGCCCCTCTCCATTGCGGGTAGCCATGGATCCAAGTTTGGGCACTGAGATGTGTGGCTTTGAGTTGTGTTGGAGAAGCAGGTCACCTGCTCAGACCCCTCCAAGTTGACTGGGGTTTGGCCAGAGCTGATGTGGTTGCCCATCACAACGGGGAGCGATTGGGGGCTTGAATCGTCAAGGCTTGTCTCCATGCTTGCGTCGGTGGAGATCCCTCTGCTTTTGCAGCAGACTCTGCAGAGGACCCAATCTTCCTGCTTCCACATAAAAGAAGTGTCATGTCCACGTGATGGAAGGACTGACAGAAACACCATAAATCTAAAAGCTTCTTCACGACTCCTCCATGGATGATCGTATATATATATATATATATATATATATAGAGAGAGAGAGAGAGAGAGAGAAGATTCGCAGAAGAGACGACTATGCTCACTGCAGCAAAGTCAATCGAGTTGAGATCATGAAGGATGATAACCTTGAAGGGAAATGTTGGAGTTGCAGCAGATCCTTCCATGCGGTATTCATGCATGACCCAATCTGTCTTGCGTCCCTTGGGAGCTCTTCCTTGATAGAAAACCAAAGTCTTCCTAGTCCCAACCAGCAATCCCTTCCGAGTGACTGACCTATCCTTTCCTGTGGCCTTCCAGTAGCCTGACATGGTCGCCCGGTTGGTTCGCTGCCCCGTCGCGTACTTCCGATCCCGAAGACTGAAGAAGTACCACTCCTTGCCCCCAACACTCGCAGTATCTGATCATGAAATGAAGAACCATTTGAGTCGCGATGCAACTTCAGTTCATGTTCAGCGAAAAAAATGAACTAGCTGCTGGTCACTGACTGATCTTATAATAAGAACAAATGTAGTGAATTGCATTTGGTCTGAGGAAGATGAAGTGCTAAAGCAGGGTTATCATCAGGTAGAGAAACAAGAGAGCTAAAGCTATGTCAAGTAACTGGTGACATACGGCAAACACACCATGGCTTTCTTAGCATCATCAGTCGGCCTAACTCCATGATGGAGATACCTCATCATGGTGATACTACAACAACAGGAAGGTGTCGATCTAATGTTGTGAAACTATCGATGTCCCAAGGGAGAATTCTTTGAGCTAAAAAACAAATCATGCAGCAGGATAACTTCAGAGAGCAAGCAATTCCTCTTTCCTTTACTGGTAAAGCTAGAAAGGACAGGCATGGAGATGAAGCTGAAGGCAGGATAGAGTTGGAAAGAGAAGTGCACATTTTTTGTGGTTTAGTTCACAAGCGTTTCATGAAATAATTGAGATGTTAATTTGATTTGCCTACAAAGATCAAACACATACAGCTCCTGCCTAACTTCTCCATGTAAAAGGGAATCATGCAGTGCATGTCATCTCAAGTGCTCAAGAAGAATCTAATCAAGTATGCACATATCTTTTACAGAATGGGAAGAAGGGGAATGCAAGAACGACTCAGAAGATTGGTGTGAGGCCGGCAGCCAGTGAAGACAAGACTCGGTGGCTCGTGTAAGAACATTAATCTAAAGACACGATTGGGGATGATGGCATGGTGTTGAAGAGGTGACTGACAGTGGGCTTACTCACCAGGGAGATCCCATGGCTCACACTTGTTGAGATCGACATCCACCATGGCAGGACGGCCATGGAAGCTCCTGCCGCCGACCTTCGCCGCAAGGTAGTCGCAGATGAGCTCGTCATCCCTGGGCTGGAACCTGAAGCCTGGCGGCAGCTTCGCCTCCACCATGCTCAACATGGTGTTGATGAGAGAGCACATCAACCAGGGGGATTATGCGTCTATGGTATTAATAAGAAAACCAAGCCAACTTTTGAAAGAGAGAGAGAGAGAGAGAGAGAGAGCACGTCCAGTCCATCTCTCTGGCCTCCCATCATCCATCCCCATCCTGCATAACCAATCACGACAGACGACACACACTCGACAGAAGACGGGATGAATCCAACAACAACATGCTGGAAAACAAGCTTCATTTTTTCGGATCAGACGGCTGCTGCAGACAAACAAAAGACTGTCCATATCAGCTGGTCTGAGATCAGTTCTTGTAGGATCAAGGGAGAAACAGACCTTAGTCAATATCACTGGAAACACACTTCTCCCACAGAAATAGAAGTCAATGTCTGATCAGATCTCAATTAATCTTTTTCAAACGCCATTAGTATGGGTAGAATCAGATTTCAATTAATCTTTAACTTTGACAACGATTGTGTTTGATTGATACTATTCATCTCATCCAGAACATCATGTAGCATTGTTTTACTATTCAAATGATATTAGATATCTATTGGTAGCAAACAAAGATGAATGAAATGAAAAGGTAGTCAAATAAAACTAAACATTGACTTAAAACAATAGTATCAAAGATATAACAACTACTGCAACATTAACAAAAATTTAAGCTATCATAGGATAACAGTTGATATCACCACTATATGCTCACCCTGTAGACTTTAATAGTTTTTAGATGTCATTGTTTATGAAACCACTCAACTCTCATATAGAAAAAAAAAAAAAACTTTATAAGACTAATGCTTCAATTTCTATGGAACAGGAGAATAATGCATGAAGTTAGTAAAACAAAAAATCAAATAAATAATGCCTCAACTAAGACATTTTTATATGATGAATCCTCTCATATCGCACGACTTAGTTCTATAACTGTCACACTAGATATATAGGCTTTGACGATTAGTATCGTCTAACGAATGTTTCGATAGTGCTTCAACAATATAGCAAGGCCTATGATGATGCGCTTTAACTATATAGTGATAAAAGATTATCCTAAATTAAGCGATTCGTATGACTCAAAAATTATTTAAGTTAAAATCTAAGAGATTTTCATTGAAGCGAGAAAAAAATAAAAATGAATAGGAGACATCTTCATCTGATTAAAAAAATAATAAAAAAAGTTTTTTTACGATAAAATGTCCAACTTCTATTTACAAAAATATATTTATTACACAGACGACAGCGATTGAATTAGCTTTCATCTTGGACCGCAGCATGTACATCTAAGACATACAGCTGTCCTTCTTGCCCATCAGATCATTTGTGGCAACGTAAGCGTCATATTACCAAAATAGCCTTACGCGTTCTTAAAAGTATTGCCGCGACCATCAGGGCAACATCGTCATTTTGGTCGCATACATTCCGCTGGACCCGGTCCCACATATTAGTGTAAAACTACGAGGGTTGTTATTACCGAAATGGATCGAGCGTCACATTACTAAAATGCCCTTCGGCGGTTCCAAAGGTTCGGCAAGCAAACAAATGGGCAAGACAGTCATTTTTCGGCATACGTTTTCCGCGCTGGGGCCGAGATGTCCCTCGCATCAAACCCATCGCCGACTTTATACCACAGGAGCAATGATTGCCGCGAAGGACCGAGGTAAGATTACCAAAATGCCTTCAAGAGATCGTCGAATCGCACACGACAAGGTGAACAATATGGTCTTTTGATCTTCCACTTTCCGGCAGGCCCCATTGTGGGTCCCAGGTGTTCGACGTACAAAAACCCGTCGTAACACGAGAACATTTGTCGCCACGCCGAAGAGGCCTGAGCATCAAATTATCAAAATGCCCTTGCACGTAACCATCACCATGAGGGGAAGATGAACGGCCGGATGGGATGGCCGTGAGGGAATCACGAGGCGCACCTAACGGCATACGGGGGGTTCGATGCTCGGTCAACGTCACGACGTCGAAACCCACGAAGGTGGGGTCACATGCGACAAGCAACTGGTACCGCTAGAATCGAGCTTAACGGCCATGTGGATAAATGCTCGCAAAGTCAGTCCCACCACGTCAAGCCAAAAAAAATAAAAGAAAAGAGAAAAAGGATAATGATAGCACATATTGCGAGTTGACCGAGCGGCCCACCACACACTGCGTTGATATAAATTTAGCGTCGGCCCAAAAATAAGTTCTATACGTGATATATTATTTACGGTATGAATTTTAAATTACATTATCAAGAATTTAATAAAGATCTAACAAACATATTATGAGACTTAATAATTATTATTCTCGATATCATTTCTTTTATAAGATATTGTATGAGGAGGTTGAGAAGAGGATTTTAGCACATTAAAAGAGTTGATTGGTACTTCAAAAAATAAAAAGAGGGTAATTATATTACTAGTTTATGATTTATAATATATAGGAACTAATTAAAGTTTGCACACTGTAAAATACTGTATCATCTCCAATGATCCTAATTATTATCAAAGGAAACCACGGCCACGGCCACGGCACGGATGCCACTCGGACGACTATTTATACTAATCGCGTCGCCACCATTTCATCCAACTCGCTTCCTAACAGAAACATCATTGTCTTCTTTCTTGCTCTGTGTTCCCAATCGGGTTGCCGACGCCGGATCTTGCGGGAGAGCTTAGCCGCTGGATCCCCAGCGATGGCCTCGGCCTGCGTCAACGACGCCGCCCCGCCGCCGGACACCGCCTTCCTCGACTTTGCCCCGGCATGCCCCGTCTACGGCTGGCTCAGCCCTAGGATCTCCTTCAGCCGCGACCTCGCTGACGGCTCTGGGCCTGACCCTGAGCCCGTTGCCGCTGCGGTGACGGAGACCCCGGATGCGGACGACCCGGGCAAGGATCTTCCGGACTTCGAGTTCCGCCTCGAGGATCCCGTCGCGATGCTGCCTGCCGACGAGCTGTTCTCGGACGGGAAACTGGTGCCGCTCCAGATCTCCGCAGTGCGGCCTGCTGTGGAGCTGGCCGAGGGGATCCCCTCGCCGGAGGCGGAGAAGCCCCGTGGGGAAGCGGAGGTCATCGGATCGGAGTCCTGCGAGAAGTCCCCCAAGGCGCCGCGGTGCTCCAACCGGTGGAGGGATCTA